AAATGTTATAAAAGATATGGACTGTATTTGCTTTGTTTTTTTACACCTGCAAATATGATTTGAAAAAAAAAAACTGTAAAAAATGTTGCTCTCCATTTAAAAGGCTGATGTTTCTTTAATGCAAAATGTCTTATGTTAAGCTGGAGAGATGGCTCAGAGTTTAACAGTACTCACTGTTCTTCCAAAGGTCCTGAGTTCAATTCCCAGCAACCACATGGTGGCTCACAACCATCTATAGTAAGATCTGGTGTGCAGGCAGAATGTTGAATAAATAATAAATAAATCTTTAAACAACAACAAAAAAATGTCTTATGTTCTTTATTGCAGCTCCATGTTAGCCCAGGGTTATACAGGGTTATAGTCAAGTCATTGTTAATTATTATATAAAATATATGCCTGGTTGCCAGTTCCTATATAAATGATTGAATGTTGTTTCTTTCTGGCTGATAGGTTTAAAATGGCCAGAATTGTCCATTTCTGCTAAGGTTGCCAGCTGTTAGTTCTCCATTTGTACTTTAAGCCTTTTTGCTGTTCAGTCTCAATGTAATATGACAGGATGAGCAAGATTTGCTAGTTCTTCCATATATTGTATCTGACTGAAAGTTTGGCTTTGATTTTAGTTCAGAATGATATTTGAAGCTGTGCTAATGACTGCAGTTAGTTATAAGAGTTAGTTTTATCTAGTCTTTTATTTATGTTTTTAAAGTTAAGCTTAGGACAGGTAATTATGAAGTTTGCCTATGTACATCTACTTGAAATAAATATGGTTCTAAAACATTTATCTAAGGAATATGCCAGAATTAGAGATTACGACATTCTATTTTATAGGATGTAATTTAAAATAGATAAATAAAAGATAGATGATGAATAATTCAGATATGCTGGTCCTCAATCTTGTCAGAGATCTGATGAATATGGCATTTTAATATGTGTAAGCTTAAGATCTAGACACAATTCGACTCTGGGTTATGGTATGCTAACCACTGGGCAAGACTGCCCCAACTGGCCCACTCCTAGGGCCCAGCTTAAACTGTGGACAAAACTGTGGACACCTGGAGAGTCAATGTTTCACATTGCTAAGGGCAAGGTGAGGCCATTTTCTCATTTCTTTTTCCACAGAAATGGTCTCTCATCTTCTGTGCCTGGTTGCTGGACTGCTCCTGCTCATGATGCCATGAGACCACAGAAGCCAGGGACAGCTGCCTAAGGTGATGGACTGACTAGTTGTCACTGTCATTTTGATTGGTACATGGATTGGTACATTTATTCATCCTTCTCAGGTCTCTAATCACATTGATGGCTAAGCTAAGGTAATGGCAGCTTTGCAGTTAATGAACAGATAATTAGATCCATTGTTAGTTTATTGGTTAATTTATTAGTTAGTAAAAATTACCAGGTACTAGGTCTTATATTTAAAAAGGCAAACAGGTTCGCCTTGCCTACAGGCTTCATGTTATTTGTCTATGTTTTATGATGAATAGCTGGATAAAAAGATAGAATTTATACAAAGTTTGAGGATATAAAAATTTAGATTATGAAAATTTAAAAATTATTATTTAAAGATTTGGAAAATGTTTCAGAGTTAATAAAAAATTAAAGGCGTCTAAATAAATATTTAAAGATAATATTTCAGATTTCTTCCCCCTCTTTGCTATTGATATATTTACATTGTTATAAAATCTCAGAAATTCAGCTTTAAAATATTGATTAATAAAATTGGGATAAGCTGATGGAACACTGAATGCTTATTATCCAGTCACAAGCTTGAGATTTTAATTTTTTTCTTGGTTGTCTCTGGAAATAGACTTAGAGATGCTTCTCATTATGCTAGGAACATCTGTCCAAAATGTATATTTGAATATCTGCCATTTTTGAGACTTTGATATATGATTTAGGAATATTTTAAACCTATTCCTTCTAGTTGCTTTGTTAAGGAAAGTCCAAGCATCCAGAAGTTAATACTAAAGCTGTTAATGTACTTCTGCCTAACTTTCCAGTGTACAAGAAATGGCATGATGGCTGATTACCAACAGCTGTACTGACAGTTAAAGTGTGAAAGTTTCAGAGCATGGACACATTTAAATTGTTTATAAAGGTTACAAAACATACAGCTAAGAATTGATACTCATTCCGTTGGATGCAGTTTTACCTGTTATTCACAAAATGTTGTTGATATATTATTTTTCTGAGTCTTTTTATATATTTTCTTTTGCAAACTAAAAATTTATATGAGTTTCAGGAAATCAAAAAGTCAATAAACCTGAATCTGACATAGCTCAAAGGGACCCCAGATGAATTACTTCCTTGGTTTTGGGAGTTCTCACTTTTCTCATTTATTAGACAAATTTTAACTTCTGTTTCTAGTTTGAATTTGTCTCAGCAGATTTTCACCTGGTTAAGACTGCAAGCTGAGATCTGAACTTGCTGGAAACTAACATGATTGCTCACTGCCTTTTCAGGTGGATCAACTAACCAGACGCCTCTGAGGACTGTCCTGTTGCCCAGCCTTTTGACTGGCATTTCAGCCTTCCTAGCCCCTTGATGCCAACGGTCCTACTGTCAAAAATGAAACAAATTCAGAAGAAAAGACCTTCAGTCCAAAATCCCACCTATTAGGCTGAAATGCTAAGTCAAAAGGGGCTCTCTGACATTAGCTATTATCTTCAGGACCTGCTTACTGGAGTGGGAACTAGTATTGCAATCCTGGATGTGCAAAGCCAGAATTATAACAGCTCAAAGGCAGAATCTTTTGCTTTTGGTCATTTTTGGACCATGCTTGCTTAACAAGTTGTTAGGATATAGTAGGCAAAGACTAGGGACTATACAGTTGATGGTAATGAGAACCCAGTACCACCAGTTTGAATCTGACCATGGACTGTAAGAGCCCCGGATTGGCTTCTTTATGAACAAGGAAAGGAGGGAATGAAGAGTTTAAGTTAGCCTGGGTGACTCCATTTTGAAATGAGGAGCCATCTTGACCGGGAGCTGAACTCACCTACCAGGAAATATCACAGAATGTACACTTGGCAGAAAACAAAGTTAACTCTCCTAGCAACAGCCTCCAGGAAATATCAGAAAATAAATACATGATAGAAAATAGAGATAATATCCCTGGCAATAATCAATGAGAATTGGTTGGGAAAGTTCTCCCCAATGTTCCAGATGTAGTTTAGAAGAATGGCAATTTTGATTATGTAGAAGGTCACCTCACCCCTATGGATTTTACCCAATCCCGTAACGTCAAGGCATGAACCCCCTGCTTTTGGGTTTTTCCCTTTAAAAACCCTGTTCACCCAGGGCTTGGGGTCCCACTTCTCTACTGCTGTGTCAGTGAGACACAGCTCTTGCTCTTGCATCATGTCGTCCCCCTTCCCTCCACCCCAGGACTGTTCTCCCAACTCAGGACTTCCCATCACACCCACAAGCTAACTGCAATGAAAAAGGACAGCATCCCTAGCCAGAGCCACTGGCAAAGGGATTGAATTCAGGAGGGATACTATTCATCCCAAGACTTGCACAAAACTAGAAAGCATGACAGGAGGAACTTGCTGAATCATCAAGCAGACCCAGACCCACCCATGCTCACAGTCACCTGTCTACGATGCAGGTGCTTAGGGAACTCAGCAATGGTGCAGAAATACTAGATAACCAATTTGGGGGGGGGGGGAATCAACCTTGACCTCCAATCACACCACCCATAAAGAAAAAAACAGGTAGGATTATAGACACAAATTTAGAAGCAAAAGCAATCAACTTTTTTTTTTTTTTAAAAACTGAAGACCATAATAGAAGGCAATAGTTTCTCAGGCTACAAAAGGCAAAAGCCACAGATGATAACACTAACTAGACAGCATTAAAACAAAGAACAGTAGTTCATTAAGAAAAAGTAATAGGCATGCTATTAACCATGTCTCCATATACACATACATGTACATGTACACACATATACATACACACATACTTGAACATGTACATGCATGTATATACCAGACATGTGCAAATGCAAATAAGTAAAAATGATACAAAAAAAAAATCTGCCCTGTTCAGAGCAGGCATATCTGAAGTGACTTGAAGGATTGTGTGTGGCTCAAGGACAGAGCACATGCCTGACACCATGAGGCCCTGGCAGAGTTCTGCAAAATTACCTTTTATTTGCCTGAATTAGTTGTCTTCTCAGAAGCTTACTGCTTTTTCTTTTTTTAAATATTTATTTATTTATTATATATACAGTGTTCTGCCTGCATGTACATACACCTGCACTCCAGAAGGGGGCATCAGATCTCATTATAGATGGTTGGGAGCCACCATGTGGTTGCTGGGAATTGAACTCAGGACCATTTGCAAGAGCAGCAGTTAGTGCACCTAACCTCTGAGCCATCTCTCCAGCCCCAGATTACTGCTTATTTAAGTTCACACTTTCTAGTTCTTTCTGAACTCTGGTTGGCTAATTCAACTCAGGTGTTCTGGCTCAGACTCCTCGCCAAGCTGACTGATTCAAACTGGCTTCTCTCAGCCTCTGCCTGGCCTCACACTATCTTTGGCAATCTGTTCTACTCTGTGGCTCCTTCTCATTCTCTGGCTCATTCTATCTTCACCTGTGTCTAGCTTGTTGTCTCTTGGCAATCTGTCTCTATACAACTGTCCCAGTAAAACTGCCTCTCTTCTCTCTCTCTGCTGCTCTCTTTTAAGTAGCTTCTCTTTCCTCTAGCTCCTCCTGAGAGCTGAGTATATCCTATTCCATCAACTAACTTTACCTTCATTGTTTGGGATTAAAGGTGTATACTAAGGGTGTGTCTGCATTCCAGCTGAATCACACACAGACCTAGAAGGTCTTTGGGTGTGATCAGAGCAGCCCTGTTGCCGGATTAAAATTCTTCACTCGCCCTTGCCTCACAGCAGTGTTGGGAGGGCACTGCAGTCTGAGGAGCAGCTGCAGTCAGGGGGAGAGCTCACGTTGTCACCACAACAGTCCAATACCAGCTCTGTCCCTTCAGACTTACCCACAGATAGTCCCCATCCACCCTGATGGCAAACTTGAGCTTCCGCAGACGGATGAGTGTGGGAGGGGTGCCAGAAAGGTCCCACAGGCAGCGGACGACTCCAGCAAGCTGACCACAGAGCAGCTCCTGCTGGTCTAACAGGGTCTGTGGGAGAAGCAAAGTTCAACCTGATTGTTCTACACAGACCAGCATCTGCTCCCCATTTTCATGGGCTGAGAATAGTTTTTATGTTTTTAATTTTTAAAAAATTCCCATTGTATGCATTTGTGTGTGTGCTCATGTGTGAGTTGGGCATATGCACCACACCTGTGTGGAGAAGTTTTTGGAAGCTAATTTTCTCTTCCATTATGAGTTCCAGAGATTTAATTGAGGCTTATGCTTTGACCTGCTGAGCCATCTGACCAGAAGTGTGTGCTGTTGCTGTTGAGGCAGTGCCTTATTGTGTAGACCTGGCTGTCCTGGAACTCACATTACATAGACCTAGCTGGCCTTAAACTCAGGGATCCATTTGACACTGCCCTGCCTGCTGGTTACCTCTGGCCCAGCTTTTATAGTTCTTTCTTCTTTCTTTCAAAGATTTATTTATTTATTATCTATACAATGTTCTGTCTGCATGTGTACCTGCATGCCAGAAGAGGGCACCAGATCTCATTATAGATGGTTGTGAGCCACCTTGTGGTTGCTGAGAATTGAGTTCAGGATCTCTGGAAGAGCAGCCAGTGTTCTTAACCTCTGAGCCATCTCTCCAGTAACAGCTGGGCTGGTGGTTTATGCCTATTATCCCACTGACACAAGAGAACCCAAAGTTCAAGGCCAGGGACTACAGAGATGGATCATCATTTTAGAGTACTTGCAGAGGACTGACGTTTGCTTCCCAGTCTCCACATGATGGCTCATAACTTCCTATAACCATCCAGTCCCAGGAGATGACACCCTCTTCTGCCCTCCAGGGGTACCAAGTACACATATATATGTAGACAAAACACTCAGATGCATAAAATAAAATAGAGTCAAGAGCAGCCAGGGTTGTAAGGCAAGATACTATCTCCAAACATCTCCCCACCATACAAGAAAACCAACAATGGAGAGTGCATGGTGGAGCCACCATAAGGATCACCTCCTTATGGTGACTTGTGAGTCAGGTTGCTGGGTGGCAGGCTGTTAGAGGACCCCACATCAAGCGCAGAGGACAAAGCAGGGCTTCAGCACATGGGAGGCCACACACATTCCCTGACCCACGGGAACACCTGCCGCCCATGATGACATCCTGCCTCACGGAATGGACCTTGAAACTCATCAGATATCCAGAGCTTGCTACAAATGGAAAGTGAAATCTGTGAACAGAAGATGTCACTTGGTGTCACCATAAGGAGGTGATCCCAGAACGGGGCAGGCTAATGTGGCAGCTCAGTAATCTGAGGGAACAAGAATACAGGATGGCTGGTGTGTGAGGCCTGTTATTAAAAATGGGACTTGGCACAGACTAAGCAAGCAGGGTGTTATTAGGGTCCTGACTTGGGGGAGGAAAAGAGTGGGAGAGGCAATCTGGTAGGGTAATGCCAAAGAAATGGCAACAATTAGAGTCTAGCTGCAGCTCCTGAACTAAAGAAGTGCTGTCACTCATGGTCACGTCTGTCCGGTGTGACGGTAAGAAACACTGGTGGGTGAAATGGCACAATATCTAGAACTCGCTTTAAATTTCTCTAGGAAGAAGAAGAAGAGGGATGTAGGCAGCGTTCACAGGTGCCGATGCTACAAACAGTATGGAGGAGTTTGGAATAGTCTCTACTTTTCTGTGTAAATAAACGCTTTTGAAATTAGCTGATCAAAGACCTGAAAACAGGAGGAGACAGACAGCTGGCAGAGCTGGGCGGAACTAGCAAGAGAGGAGGCCTGAGCTGTTTGGGAACTAAAGACAAAGAGTACTGACTGGTGGCATGGGCCTGTCAGCTCAGCTGCCATGGAGGCTGGGAACTCTGAGAGAGCTTGGCTCCAAACTTCAACCATAAGTAAACAGAGGCTGGGGAGAGAGCAGAGCATGCACATGGCCCGAGCATAATCTCCAACATGTCTTCAAAGAGGCCACACACACAACAGCCCCTGCTTACCTGGGAGGGATAGAAGTAGCAGATACCAGCTCTGGTTGGATCTCCTTCTCCCTTTACCTTGGAACCATCATACAGAAAAAAGTAGTTCCACCTGACAAGAGAACAGAAGGGAGCCATGGGTCCCTGTTGGTGACAATGACAAGTTCATGACACTTTCTTGCTCCTGGCTCTGGGAGGCCTCGGTGCTCAGCTGCCAGGAAGAGTCCGGTAGCCACAAGCAGATAAACCCACTGCAAGAGTAACCCAGGGAGACCGCAGATACGCCAGTGCCCAGCCATCAGCCGCTGCTTCAGGGCCCAGATCTCCCAGTGCGGCTGCACAATCACACTGCCTACATGCTTTCCTGCTGTCTCTCCAGGTTCCGGTAACAAAGTAAACTGAGGTTATCTCCACTGCACTTCTCCCCAGCATGCTGGTGGAAAGGCCCTTCTCCCAAGAACTCGTGGACTCATGTAATGTGTGTGGAGGACCTGCAGCAGTCACACCCCTAAAAGGAAGACAGAGCCTTTGAAATGGACAGAAAAGCACCAGACTCCTCTCTGACCCTCAAAACCTTACCAGCAGCTCAGTCTTGCTTCCTCCCGCCCTTCCAGAATCCTCAAACTACACAGTGTTGCCTTCTTCCCATATTCTGGGACTACAGCTCAGCCAGGATGGGTGGCTTCGGAAGACTCTATCTCTGAGGCTGGCATCACCTGGCTGCCCAAGATGAACTAGACAGAGCACACCAACCAGGCCAAAGCAGCCCACAAAATGGACACACGCTGTCATGGAGCCAGTCTTGCAGGACACAAGGCCTTCCCCTGAACGCCCCCCTTCTCCCTCCTCATGACAGAAACCTGTCCCAACATCATCCACTTTTTCAAGCTCCAGGGTCCAATGTGCAACTGACCACAGCTTAGATGGTGATCAAAATGCCTGTGAAGGTTCAAAGCCCACCCTGCACCACCCATCCTCTCCCACACTCTGAAATCACGACTGCTCCTCTACATGCACTATACCTCAAGCGTGATTTGGAATGGCTCCATTTATAATCGGTTACTGGGGCTGCTGAGTCTAGCTAAGCCCCACCCTTCACTGTCACCTCTCCACGAGGGAGACATTACACAACAGCCTTAGGAGCCAGACTGGCCAGACCTCAGCTGCAGCCATCCTGCCCCTCCACGACACAGACACACCCAGGAGATCAAGACAGGCTACACCATCCCAATCATCTACCTGCAGTACCTGAGGTGGAGTTTGCAAGGTGTTTCTGGGATTTGATTATTTTTGCTGTACCAGGGATTGAACCCAGGGCCACTCAAATGCTAGGTGAACACTTAACCACTGGGCTATATCCAGCCCAAAACTTTCAAGGTTCAAACACATATGCTCTTGAAAGACATGGCTTCCACATTTAATGAGGTTGCCCTAAGGGGAACAGAAAGACCAGCTGGCTGAGGCTTCCAGTCCACTCAAAGTGATCCTGGAAGCAGCTTCAGGCAGGCCTTGACACTCACCATGAGGCTGGCTTTGTCTCTGGGGGAGTGGTGGTGGCCATTTACTCTCCAGATGGCCTCATCCTCTTCATCTGGTATTCCTCCTAGAAGCACTTTTCTGTCCCCAACTGGTGGCGCAGTCCAGTGACGACAGGTGTGGTCAAGTCAGGTGGTTTCTGCCACTTGCTTACTTTTCATTCGGTATGAAAATGCAACTTCCTTTTGGGGCAGGTTCATTTCCAGAAGTATCTCTGCACCACTGAGAAGTCAAGGAGGCGACAGACTGGAGGTGGACTAGATCAACACAGTAACATAGACTTGTGGTCTGTCTCAGGGGTATCCATGTGGCTGTCTGCACCGGACCCCTATCAACGCCTCTCTGGGAGCTCCACCTACAGTTCAAAGTCATCCAGTGTGTTCCTCCAAAAGGCCCGAAGTTTCCAGTTCACACACCAGTGTCTCAGCTCTGAGTAAATACAAAGAGTTGATTCTTTCAGAAACTCATGCAGGCATGTGACTCACACGGTTAGTTAAGTAGATGATTTCGAAACTATGTTTCAAAATAAAAAGAAAGTGGGTAGCAGAGACTTCAAAGCCCTTTTATTTATTTATTTATTTTTCAGCAGAAAACACTGTCAGCCTTGGAGAAGGGAAATTAGATAACAAGTGTGGAAAGTTCTGGGTGCAAGGAGCCACACAAATCAGATGGTTGCTAGAGTGACAGTGGAACCTAAATTAAGGAACTGGCACTCAACAGTGTAATCAGAATGTGTATAGCTTTTTAGGATGCAAGACCAGCACTTTCAGAGTGCCCTTCATTTCAAACTCCCATCAGGTGGAAGACAATTCAGGGTATCATGAAATACCCAGTCAGAAAGGACCCTGGCCTCACTTACTCTAATCCTTGGCTCCCCCGAGGAAACTGTCCAGAGACAGGTTGTTCAAGGCATTAAAATTACTGTCCATGATGCTGAGGTCTCCTGACAGTAATATTTCACCGTGTAGATAAAACTAGGAGGAAACACAAAAACGGTTTAATCTTTCCTCTTGACAACCTTTCAACTTCGGTCATTTTCATCAATAGTTGTAGTCCCACACTTCCGGCTAATTCCGTCGGGAACACAGTCTCTAAAGCTTTGCCACAATTCTGTGGAAATACAGTGTGTTAATGTCTCTTAGGGAGGGAGCCAGGCATGATTCCTCAGGCCTTTAATCCCAGCCCTGGGGAGGTAGAGGGAGGCAGATTGCTGAATTCCAGGCCAACGAAGGCTACAAAGTAGGACCCTCTTTCAAAAGCAAGTAAAATCCCTTAGAAAGAAGGAAGTGCCTGAGGGAGAACCGCCAAGAACCAGAGATGGCCTAAATATCTGTCATCTCAGCTACAGACACCTCGTTCCAGAGGGTGCACAGGGCGTCTGTGCAGGGACATCTCAGTTCCTGGAACCCACACCTCCCATTCGCAGAGGCCTGGTCCAAGGACCTAGCAGCTAGTTCTCAAAGGTCTAGATGAAGTCAGTGACCATCTAGTGGGTAGGACCTGCCTCATGGCAGCCAGACAGGTGACAGCAAGAGGATGGTCCGGCGCGCGCCGGAAGGGAGACGTAGGAAGTGGCCTCGATGGGTGAGGAGCCGGGAAGCTGCGGCCCGAAAGCCCGGATCTCACGCCCGCCCGCCAGCCCGCGTGACAGCATCGATACCTGCGCCCAGCAGCCCCGCGATCACGCGCGGCCCCACCTCCCCCCACCAGGGGCTTGGCGATGGCGTATTCTCGGCGAGCCTGTGACGTCAACATGGCGGCCGCCCTGGCGCGCAGTGGTGACGTCAGGGGCATGGCGGCAGTCGAGCCGTCTTTGGAGCACTGGAACGCGGTGGCCCCGCGAAGGAAGCGCGCACCCGGGAGGCGGCCGCGGCGGTACGAGGGCCAGGCTCGCGGGCCCCAGGCCGAGCCGGAGGCAGACGGCGAGGCTGTGCTGCGCCGCCTGCGGGAGGCCGAGTGAGTGCAGCGCCTAGAGGCCACTCCAGCCTCAGTCTCCCCAAGCGGCTGTGCCCACCCTCTGGGGAAGGCTGAGCTCCAGGCGGGTTGCACTGTAGCAAGCTTTCGGTAAAGCTGCTGTTCGCGTTACTGCGGTTACAGCAGCTTGTCATTCTGCGCCTTCGTTTGACAGTGTTGTAACCGTAAAGCACTTCCTGGCGCCTGGTAAACTTCCAGGGCCGGGATTCACTGTTGATGTTAGGCCCAGTGTTGATTGTTTTCTTTACTTGCTTGGTTTTCGTTTTATTTATTAGAGGTTGAGGGTGCGTGTGTCATGGCGCATGTGTGGAGCTCAGAGGACCACTCCTTTCACTGCATGGGTCAGAATGATCAAACTCAGTTTGTGAGTCCGGTTTTGAGTTTGAGAGACAGGATCTCGTACTATAGCTTAGGCTAGCGCAGCAGGCCTGGAACTGGAGGAGAGTCTGCCTCTTTCTCCTAATGCGGGGATTGCAGGTGTGAGCCACACCCTGCAGTAGTTATTATCAGTATTGTAAACCGAGGTTGCAGCGTGAACACAGTTGTCAATGTTGGCAGCCGTAGTTTACTGAGCAGCAGCTGTGTGCAGACTTGGGCATCCTCCATACTTCCTCCCTACTTCCAGCCTCATTAAGATCTTGGGCACTCAGACATACAAAGGTCATTGTTTCCAAACCAGGCCTTGGTGATATCAAGGCCATGCTTCCACCTCCATTATACTGGACCCTTCTACCTTACTTCCATTTCCCCACAGCTCGGTCTGTGTCTTCTAATAGGGCACACACACAGGCTTATGTCGTGTACTTGCCTTTCTAGTTGTCCTCTTGGAGGACTAAGTCACAAATTTTGGTAGTATTTCAGGTGGATCAGGAAGGTTATGATAAGGGGGCCAAGTTATACTCAAAAAGTAGTGGTGACCCAGAAGTTATCTCTGAACAGGAAGGAATTACTGGCTGTGTGGCTGAGGGGCTGGACAGAAGCAAACAGTTCCTCTAAGATCTCTAAAGATCAGTGAGATGAAGGTGCCTGGGGCCTGAACTCTCAAGGCACTTATCAGATAGTTGCTGCTTTCTCAGCTGCTTCAGAATCTCCCAGAGGCCCCTGCTTCTCCCAGCATCCTTGCTGACTCCCTGAGCAGAGAATCTGATCTAGACTACCTAGGATTTAAGAAGTACTTTAATGCATTAGGGTCTCTTTTCCCTGGAAGAATGTAGGCCTCCTGGGGCAGTTCTTCTCCTCTCTGTTCCCCCCCCCCCCCCAACACTGCCTCTGGCATATTTTAGTTCACTGTTGATGGTTTTGCCATAGGCAGTGGAAACCAGCTGATGTGAATAAAGACCAGACCCTTGGACTTTCCCTTTAGAATTATCTATAGTGGGCAAGCTGCCTGTTGAGTTTCTGCAGAAGAACTCGTTTAGGCCCTCCTGCTACTCTCCAGTCTTGAGAGAAGGACACCCACATCAGAAAGGCTAAGTCTGAGGGCTTCATAGTGTTTAGGCAGCTGCATCTCTGCCAGGTCAAAGAGGCCGAACAGACCCAGACCATCCCTGGGAAATCTCTTGACGGAGGTCCTTTTGATCCCAGCTGTCTACATCTAGGCCATGGGTGTGTCATTCAATAAGGGCTGGTTCACGGTCAGGGTTAAGAGCCTTAGAGAAGAGAGATGACCACGCCATTTCTTCTCAATAGGGAGGACCTTCGGATCTCTGATTTCTGCAGTTCAGCACTGGGTGAGTATCACGTGGGAGTGGAAGGAGGAGGACCTGCCTGAAGATGGGCAAAGGACATTCTTCATGGAAAGACTTTTTATTTGTGCTGGGTTCCAACTACCTTCCTCACAGCTGTGTCTTTGGCACTTACTAAATCTGCAGTAGAGATGGTAATGCATACATCATGCAGTGTTTGGGGAATTAAGTGAGGTGGTATGTGCTTGGCTCTCATATTTCTATATGAGAGCAGTAAATGCTGTTAATCACTGTCAGGATAGCTAAACTTCATGTCTATCCTGCATTTTCCTTTACATTACAGTGTAGACCCTCCCCTTGCAGCTACGTCCTCAATATAGTATGTTCAGCATGGTACTTGGGAATGGACAGATCCTGTTTACTGTTTACACTTTGTATCAAAGGCTCCTGTTGTAATCTTTCAGTTGAGTTTCACCTGCAGGCTGCAGTCACCAGGCCAGATTCAGATTGTTAAGTGAAAGGCAGCATCAAGCTACTATCCAAAACATTTTAGGGTTCTCTTCCCAGCAAGGACATAGACAGTTTCTCAGCCTTTTGCCACCAGGGAAACCTGTACAAAGATGGCTTTGCCACATTGGTGAACAAAAACAGCTTGTTTATTGTTGGAACACATGGCTCCTTTGTTTTTTGTTTTGTTTTGTTTTTTGGGGTGTGTGTGTGTGTGTGTGTGTGTGTGTGTGTGTGTGACAGTAACCTAAAAGGGCCAGGAGGTTGGGTGGACAGTGGTTTTAAACCTAGCCACCCAGTTGCCCTTGTGGAGGCCATCTGCACCCTGCACTCCTTTCAAGTGCTTCCTGTCAGTCAGGAGAGACCTCTCAGGCACGTGGCTTTAGATAAAACCTTTTAACACGCTCTTAGGTTTGGGGCAATAGAGTTCAGGATCCAGCCGTTGGAAGCCAGAACACAGATCTCAGGCAGTTTTGCTCTGGGTGTTGAGGCCTGTTGCCCTGCTTTCACAGCCTCGCTCCTGGGAATAGCATGTGCTCTGACCACAGTTGGGGTAATGGTCTTTCAGAAACAGTTGCCGAGTGTCTTAGAAAGCAGCTGGAGCAACTACAGGTGCTAACAGAAGCTTTCGGAAGACTGTGCCTTGACCTATCACCCTATGGGTCAGAAGAGCCCCTGGCCACGAGCACCTTCCCTGTCAAGTGTGTGTGCTATGGCCTTGGGAACTTTGCCTCCTGTGTGACCGCTCGGACCCAGCTCGCGTTTATGCTTCTCTTTCTGGAGAAGTGCCAGGTGAGCTTTGTCTGTCTCGCATGGCATATGGTAGCGGTGTGCCTGGGACTAAAGCAGCCCTCTTACCTTCCAGATCCCCAGAAGCCACTGCTGGGCCTATGACCCTCTGTTTAGCCAAACTGAGGTTTCGGTGCTCTCCTCCCTCGGTGTGACTGTGCTGAGCGAGAATGAGGTAGGTGCTCTCAGCTCCTCCAGACCACCCACCTCTGCCCGTGGCCAGCTTTCTATGATTCAGTGCCTCGCTGGCCTTCCTGGAGCCCAGGGAAGCCCAGAGTCACTTCCATTTTGGACTGTTAAACCCACCATGAAACCTTGAATCAGCACCATGAACTAATGTGTTAGGTTTGCAAACCCTTAAGTCCAGGGCCTGGGAGGATGGCTCATCTGTTAAAAGCACTCTTCCAGAGGAATGTTCCCATGTGGAGTCTCATAACCATCTGTAACTCCAGTTCCAAAACACCTGGCCCCGGTAGGCATCAGGCATGCACATGGTGCGCGGGCATGTGAACAACACATGTAAACACACAAAAAAATTATCAACAAAACATACAGGTCGAACCTTGTAGGTCCTATCTGGGTTCTTTGTGAACGCTGGGAATAACTCAGGTTGGAATGGCACGATCAGGTGGCGAGCACCTTTACCCCGCCCCTCCTGGGTTGTTTTACAGGGTCTTTGTGGCCCAGGATGGCCTCAGCCTCATGATCCTGCTGCTTTGGGCAGTGGTGAGACCCTACAACACCAGCTGCAGACCAGCCTTGTGAGTGCTAGCTTTGCAGAGAAGAGCAGATGCAGAGGCCTGAGGAGACCTGTAACCTGAGGGAGCAAGGACAGCAGCAAGGTTAGCCTGTGCACAGAGAGCCACGAGCAGGCCCTGCCCAAGACCACAGGCAGCCACAGGGAACTACCATGGGCTCATGCCTGACATGGAAAACTACAAGGAGAGGACCAGAGGGCATGGCCAAGCAGCTGTTAGAAGAGGGCACTGTGACCCCATTGTGATGAGGCTTGGCAGTGAGAAAGGATGCCTGGAAGATGTAGAACACAGGTCATGGGGATAGTCACCACACGGAATACCTGCATTTAGTCAGCTTGGGTTCCTCTGGACGACTCCTTTAGTCACGCATAACCGTACACTAACATAGCCGTGCCACGAGAGAGCGAGGCTTTGCACTCAGCTCCTCAGCACGCATTCTGCTATCAATTCCACAGGAAGGGAAGTGCAGTGTCCAGGGCCAGCCCACTGTCTTCTACATGCCACACTGTGGTACAGCTCTGTACAACAACCTGCTGTGGAGCAACTGGTCCGCAGACGCTCTCTCTAGGGTGCTCATCATTGGGAACAGCTTCCAAGGCCTCCAGGAAAGGTAACCCAATGGGACTGCCAGACCCATCCGCAGGCAGAAAGGCTTTCCCATAGGAACCGGGTCCAGCTTAAAGCACTTGTGGAATCTGCAAGTAATCCCCCCTACTGAGAACACAGTGTTTGAGCTGCCACGCTTTTTAAAGTGCAGACCACACTTGACCTGCTTCACAGTGCCTGCCTGTGCTGACCTCCCCAGGAGCTGCTTCCTGGGTTCCCTCTGTGCAGCCCTCAGTGCTGCATGCAGCTTGTTTTTCTACCTCTCAAAAGTTGAAAAACAAAATCACCCATACACTTCCTAGTTGTGTAAATATATATTTTATTTCTAGGTTGTTGACAAGGATTCTGCAGGAAAATTATCCCTACATTGCAAAGGTATCTGACAAGATAGCCAGGTGGGGGTGCAAGGCCATAGTACCCGCCCATGTTAATGAGCATACATACTGGGAGGGGGCTCCCCTGGAACCAGCTGGTGCCTCTCCTAGTCTGTACCCAAACCCTTTCATCCTCAAGGTGAGTCCAGCATTCCCATTGCCCTCGGGGCTGAAAAGCTTGAAATACAAACCTCCATTTCTTATTTTTCAAAAGGAAAATGGGGTGCCCAGGTGAACAGAAAATAAGCCGAGAGAGTGGGGTCATACCTAATGCCTGTGTCTGGACCTCTCTGCTCAGATTCTGAAAGGCCTGGAGGAGTCCCCACTGCCTCAGAACCCCCGGTACGCTGACACCTTTAACGACACGTCTGTGCACTGGTTCCCACTACAGAAGCTGGAGGGACTGCCTAGGGACCTGTGGGCATCTCGGGAGGAGCCTGACTACCACAACTGTGAGGACCTGGAGATCATCAGGAAACCCACAGACTGTGCTCAGCCCGTGTAACAGGGCAGTACTTGCCACCTGGGCTGGAGGCCACAGTGCAGACCACACCAGCCTCTCTGCCAAGCCAACTGGTGGCGTTACCATGTCCTGCCCCGGTGGCCTGGTCTCCCAGATAGAGACATTTATTATGAGCTCGTTTAAAGTGCTGTTTATTCACACCTGCCTGGCGTGGCCCCCGTGTCTACTTGGCCATGTCAATGAGGCTCTGCAGGGAGGTGGGCACCCATGTCTTCTCGCCCTGCACGAACACCACGCCCCGGTCAATGTAGATGACAATGCGGCCAAAGGTGTAGAGCTGCTTGCCCTCGTGCCGCTTGCCGATGACGGGCATGAACACGATGTTGTGCTCCTCCGCCTTGGTCTCAATGAGGTCCTTAAAGTTCATGGGCACAGTGCTGGTAGCCACACCGATGCCTCTCTGTGCCATGTTCTCAGCCTCCCGGCGCTCCTGCATTGCCTCGTACTGGAAGTCCTTCCTGCGCTCCGTGTGGGTGAGGTAGGCAATATTCTCCCTTGCACCTGGCTGCATGTAGGCTCCTGAAAGAAGGGAGGTCAGTGAGGACACGTGACTCCAGGGATGCAGGGCCAACGTGTGTGTTGTGATGACATGGTGTGTGACTCGATGAGGCACCTCTGCCTAAGGGCACAGGCACTGACACATGATCAGTGCATGCTTGGGGAGTCGGCATCACCAAGCGGGTCTGGGAACCACGTGGCTGATAGCAAATACCGAAGTGAACCTGTCAGTATCAGAGGAGATGTGGACCCCTAAAATCACCATTTACAAGGTGAGCAATGGCCTACACTGCTTCTACTTTCCCTTGGCCTCCAAGAATGGAAAATGTGGCTGTAGAGATGGCTCATTGGTTAAGAGTTTGCATTATGTATGTGCTGCAGAGAATCCACGTCAATTCCTAGCACCCACTCAGATGGCCCGCAGCTATCTAAGTCCAGATCTATGGGATCTCTACCCTCTTCTGGCCTCCCCTGGCACTGCACTCCTGTGTACAACACCCCCACCAGACACACAAACACAGATGAAAAACTTAAATGAAAAAATGGAAAAGGTATTTAGGGTATGTGGACTTGAAGGATCATGGGGTAATGCAAATGCTAAGCTGTGGGGGTACGAGGAACAACCACTTCTGGGAACATCATGGTCTGGGGTGGGTGAAGTGGGAACAGGTTAAAGGAGATAGCAATTCCCATCCCAGCTGCCACTCTGGAGCCATGGAGCCATGTACCCTCCATGAGCACTGAGCCTCACCAAGAGCTGAAACAGCAGGGAGAGGGCCAGGCCCGTGTGCACCAGGCTAAGTGGGCTAGACCCTGTGCTTCTGCTGTGAACACCTCAGTCTACTTATCGCTCAGCACTGTGACCTGTATAACCTCAACCCTGGGCCTCGACAGTGAGCAGTGGTGCACAAGGACACAGCAGCCGAGGGCCACAGACATTGAGTTCAGCCCTCTGTGGCCCAGGAAGTAGGCACCAACACTATTTCAGAGGCACAGAACATCACTCTGAGAAGGAGCAACTACCAGGCTTTGTCTGTGCACAGCAGCGAGTCAGACCCAGCTCCTGTCAATCTGTCACAGGGCGTGCTGTGAGCCATGAGTTCCTAGGTCCACTGGACACTGTCTAGAGAGTGAAGTGATACTTAAAGTGGCCTCCCAGATTACCAAAAATGGGAGTCAATGTCATGTTTACGAAGCAGGGCCAGGACATCCCCAACAGCAACCCTACTCACCTACATTGGAGGACACAGCCCTGTTCATGATGTCAAGGGCTTCGTTGAACTTGTCCTTGACAGAAGGGTGTGCCAGTACCTGGTCTGAGAACATGGATTTCCAGCCCAGGTACCACTTAGTTATCTCCTCATAATTGGGGCTGTTACTGAGCCAGGAGCACAGCACCTGCCAAGGAATACAGGACACTAAACCACTGGCTACATACTGGATAGGGGGCTGGACCACAGCTGCAGGAGCAGTGTCCCCATGTGGCTCCTCCCAGCAGTCCACACTACAGGGGTCATGTTGCTGCAGCATAGAGCAGTTATAGTAGACTCTGGAGCCAGCCTATGGCCTAAATATACTGAGCCTTAATCTTATCCCAGACCGGTTCTGTGAGCTGAGACGAGGTAATACTGTGCCCAGACAGCAGTGAGTACCAAGGACTCGGGGCTCTCCCCTCCACCCCACCATGTCCCACCTGAAGCCACTTGGGGAAGAAATGCTTCTCCAGCAGCCCCACCAGGCTGGACACAGAGATCATCCCTTCCCAGTCCATCACCCAGTAGAAGGCGTCCATATGCTGCTGGTGGGGGTTGATGACGAGCTCACCCAGGCACATGCCTGCAAGAAAGATGGTCCCTAGCTCAGCTTCTGCAGTAGGAAGGAGTCATGGAAGTACACAGTGCCCTCCGACAGACCTTTCGGTCTCCAGTCTGCTCCTTCCTTCTACCCAGAAAGAACTCCCCGTGATTCACAAGCACTTAAGAGGCCAGTGGCTTTCTGGTTCTGACACCCAGGCCAGCCCCATCAGGAAAACTACAAGGCAGAGACAACCCCAAGTGCTCACTGCAGACCTTGGTCACGGCTGTGAACACACAGCAGGCAGGCCCTGCTTGCCCTCCGGCCCCACCTCTCCCCTAAGCAGTACCTTTGCAGTGGGACACTGAGTAAGCTGCACCCAGCCGCCATGACCCTGGCTCCTTACCCAGCTTGGGCACGATGTTCCTAAGCATGAAGGCCTCCCAGGACCCAGGGGTTAAGACCTCTTTCCAGGGCTGCAGGATGAGCTTGGCTGAGGCATCACTGGGGTGCCATTTCTGCAGCGCACTGGACAGCTTGCTGCGGACAGGGGAGTAGAGCGGCTCCAGGCGGGCCTGCATGAGAGGCAGCCATGGGTGGATCCACGAGTGGATGGGAACAGTGTCTGTCAAGGGGTTCCAGTTGTCCACCTGCAGGATGAGGGCAGAAGGATGAACAATGTAGCGCATGGACAGTTCAGGACTCACCAGTGCTGTCGTTAGGGTGAGCTCTGTGTGTCCTGACCAAGAGCCACAGTCCTGTGTGTGGAGGCCAAGAGCCACCGTGCAGGTAAATGGCAGGCACAGAAGTAGCCAAGCTGCCTTGCAGACAATTTGAACTCTAGGACCCTCCACAGAGGAAAAGCAAACACTCATGCCACCAACTTAAACCTCAGCATGGCTCCAGGTTCACCAAAGGCACTGAGAAATGACCTCCGCCTTGAGGGAGGTAGGGAAGGTGTACTATGGAAAAGGCTAGAACTACTGCAGGACGTCAGCCATGCTGACAAGAGTCCTTGAGTCCCAGGCGTCTAGCAGCACACAGATGGAGACATGGTGCCGGAGCTCTGCCTACCTCCTTCTGCAGCTTAGGGAAGATGAGCTGGTCCAGGATATTGTCCAGAATCCACACCGGGATGATGGGTGCCCAGCTGTCCAGGAAGTCTACCATCGGGTCACAGTTCCTGGGTTGCCACTGGGCAACCACATTCCGAACAAAAGGCATCCAGACCTCCCACATGAGCCTGTGAGAGGCAAGGGCGGCTGGTCAGCCTCACCACTGGCTTCCCAGTGCTCTAAGTGTGCCACCCCACAGACCTCACAGGAAACCTCAAGCCAGTCCCCACTGGGGCTCCCAAGGTGTCTTGGCGCTCAGCCTTGGGCTCCTCTGTGGGGCTACAACTGGCAGGACCATGTAGTGAATGGTTTCAGCACAGGGTATCGGGTACCTTCCCACCAAGAACCTCTGTTCACAGCACCTCTCACACTCGGGCTCACAGCTTGAATGGCCCCTCCTGAGACACCTCTGTCCTCTCCACACCTGCCTCCTTGGGTCTCACTGTTACCCTGCAATGCCTGTTCACTTGTCTGCATTTTCCACTGTGGGCGAAAGCTGCTCATGGTGCTCCCAGGGTCAGCCCACCTCCTGGACACTCAGGACGCTCAACAGACCCGTGAGCAAGCATGCCTTCAAGCCCAGAACAGTGCCAGTGTGGAGCAGTCAGTGGGGGAGAATGGCTGTCCTCCAGCCTTCAGCAAGATTCCTGCGCCTTGGGAGGCAAGGCCATGCAGTGGGGGTGGGGCCTGGCACCTGTGGAAGGCGTCTGAGGACAGGTCCTGGCTGCTGTGAGACAGCAGCTGGTCGTTCTCCAGGAGGCTCTTCCACTTGGATATGATCTGGGTGCCATAGCTGCCATCCTGCAGAATACCAGCATATCAGCCTTGCCACCTCAGGAGCCATGCCCCAGCCCAAGCAGCAGGCTGCGCCCCAGCTCACCTCGAGGGGGTGCCAGTCCTTGAAGTACTCCTTCACAAGCGGGTACACGATGGCCACAGCGAGGTCTGCACGGTCGGCCAGGCGGTACTCCTCATAGTACTTGTCCTGCAGCGTCTCAAAGATGTGCGCACACTCATCCAGCGTGAGGGGGTCGGCGCCATGGGGCTGCATGCGGCGCTCACACTCCTCCACCAGGGCCAGCACCTTGCTGAGGTTGGAGATGACGCGTTCCTCGTGCGCTAGCACCTCGGCGGTCTTCTGCAGCTCGTGCGACAGGCTGACCACCATGTCCCGCTCGTACTGCAGCTGGCGGTCGCTCTGGATGATCTCCTGCTCCGTGTGCTCAATCAGCAGCTGCAGGTTGTGCTCCAGCTCCGGCAGCGCGAAGCCCGGCACCCTGGCTTCCTTGCCAGCTGTGGGAGGCAGCTGCGGCAGCAAGGGCACTCCCTCGTCAGGCACGCTGTGCTTGTGGCTGATCTGACTGTAGCTGTAGTACACCTTCTGCTCCCTGCCTGTCATGTCGATCACCTTGGAGAGAGAGGCAGGTCGCCATCTGTCAGCCACCGCTGGGCAGGGATACGGCGCTGGCCAAGTGTAAGAGCTCCGCTAATGGAGCAGAGCTGCCTACCCAGGCCTGAGCTGGCACACTATCTCACACTAAGCAGTGACGAGCAGCTGCCACCGCTGCTGTCCAGCTACTTGGAAAGTTACAGCAACACCATGTGTCCATCATAGAGAGGAAGGATTTCACCACCATCCCAGCTGTTCCAAAATCTCACTTCATGCACAACTGACAGGCCTGACAGTTGTGGGTCCATCAGAACTCCTTAAAGGACAGAGACGTCAGCTGTTTTCCCTCGTCTTACTGCCCTCCTCCCAGGAGCCCTCGCCTCAGTCTCAAACAGCAAAGTTTATCTACAAATGAATTTATGGAGAAAACAAACCAAAGGAGGCCATAGGCTGCACAGAGGCTCCTGGTGGGGAGCTGTGCTCACCACTAACAGTCTGCATGGAGAGGTAGAGTGTTCAACAGTGACAAGGGTGGAACCCAGGGCCTGGAATGTGCTGCTAGAAGTGTTACTGAATTCGCTGCACTTTAGCTCTGGACAAATGCAAGCACTGTGTGCCTGACCGCTGTTGTACCCTGAAGGGCAGAGGGTCAGGACCAAGAAGCAGTGCTGTACTGGAATCCCAGTGTCAGGATGTGAGGGACAACTGAGCATTTGAGGCCAGCATACACTAAGAGTTCCAGGCCAGCCTGGGCTACATGGAGAGATTCTGTTTTGGAATGAGAAATGGACACACATATGCCACCCCCGCGCCCCCCACACGAATGCATGCACATGCATATGCACAGACAATGGACAGGGACCTCATAAGAGATCCTCATACCTTGACCTGGGACAGCTCCTTCTGAGGCGCTGTGAGCTTCTTGCTGACCCTACCCTTGGCCTTCAGCTCCTCCACGGTCTTGTAAGAGTATTTTGGCTTCTTCTTGCTCCCACTAGGGTCTTTCCTCCACTGGCTCAGCTCCTTCTGAAACTCCTGAGGTAGAGGGAGACAGTGAGTGACAATGGGAGAAGCCTCTTCCACAGCAGCCAGGATCAAGGCCCGCAGCAGGCCTGCAGCCACCAAGGCCCACTCCCCAACATCTCTACACAGTACAGGTGTGAGAAGCCAATGGCGGTGGCTGAGCAAAGGGCGAGGCTCTGCTGCTCTTCGGTGGACTCACACAGAATGCAGAAACAGCATGAAGGGTTGGGAAATGCTGGCCCTACCGGGCAGGGCTCCACAAAAATGGTGAGCATTTCTGTGTTAGCATGAAGGTAGCGTGAGTGAGGACGTGCTCACCCTACAAGTCAGTCCCCCTTCACACTGATTTAACCTGTCATTGCCTTGCTCTCAAGCAGCTGGAGTTGCAGCTGTTCAGAAAGCATGGTGCCTGCTCTCCCCAGGCCATCTCTGGGCTGAGGAGAGCCTGCTCTGCCGTCAGCCCACCATACAGCAGCATGCCTCTGTTCCCCACCCTGTCCATTGCCTCACACACACCTCAGCCTATAAGAGCAATGTCATCGGCTGTACACTGAGCCCGGTAGGGCCTGCATTTCCCAACCCTTCATGCTGTTTCTGCATTCTGTGTGAGTTGGCATGGTGACACCCAAAGGCCCACAGCATGTACAACCTGTGAATAACAGTGCCTGGAATGGCCTAAGCCATGAACCAGCCACACAGCTGCCCTCGTTACCTCTTCAGCCTCCTCTTCAGAGTCGGCCACAGGGAAGTCCTGCAGAGACTGAGTGGTCCGCTCTGAGCCATAGGCACCCACAGCTCCTTTGCCTTTTCTTTGTTTGGCTTCAATGGGGTTGATGATACCTGAACAAGGACAGAGATTTTTCAGATTTCAGCAACCTATGTGAAGATACAAGTATGAGAACACTTCCTGCGCCTCACCCCACCAACACACCATACAGGGGTGCCCTTCCCTGTGTTCAGGACAGTGCCACACCCCTGGGACTTGATAAGTGAGGTCACTTCTGGCCTTGGAGACTATAGGTGAATGGAAAATAGACCGCTTTGGAGGATTCAGCCCTACTCTACTGTCCATTACTGGTGTCAGAAGCCTATACAGCAAGCACAGTAACTCAGGGGGCTGACTGGCTGAAGGACAGCCATGGGCTGGTAAGGGGCTCACATTGCCGCAATTAACTTTTGTAGTATGGCTAGGCCCTGGAAATGGACAGGAACACAACACGTTCAAGAGGATTCCTGCCCCTCCCCAGGTTTTCCTTCCATCTCCTCATTCAGCATCGCTGAAACCTTAGGACAATGTTCAGCACCACCTGAGATCAATGCGGGTGGCCTTGAGGCAAGAATTACAGCGTTTCTGATTGGACCCAGTTCCTGCTAAAAAAAAAAAAAAAAAAAAAAAAAAAGCTGAGTGCTTGCTTCCTGTGGCTCTGAGCCAAAGTGGTGAGCGGCGTGTGCAAGGGGCTGCTTCTCAATAGGGCTGGTGCAGGGAACAACATGGGTGGTTGTCAGCCAGCAGCACAGGCGCATCTTCAATTGGCAAAGGCTGCCATTCTGTGCCACGCATTGACCTCCCTGACACCAAGATGCTGACTAAGAACAAAGGCCACAGGAGCAGGGATGCAGAGCTGAGCCTTCAGAGCCCAAAAAGGCTCATCTAAGTGGTCACAGAAGGGCAGGTTACAAGCCACAGGGAGCTGAGGACACTGCTTTTAGAAGGCCACAAAGTCAACTGTGGAGCAGTCAAACTTCTGCCAGGCAAAACCTAGAGCAGTAGGTGAGACTGTCTGACTTTGAAACATTAGCAGTTTCTTCATTAGAGACACCAGGCTCACAGAGATATGTGTGTGCAGCCACTTTAGACCCTAGCATTCTCATTCCCACTTAACCAAGTTCTATACTGAACCTGGGTTTTAAGAAAGCCAAGCAGCTGGAGGGCACAAGTGGCCAATGATGCCAAACCCAGCTGCAGAGTTAACAGCCTTTTGCTTAGTTTTGAGCTTAAGCATCCTCTCAGGACCTGTCCATCTACCAAGGACATCACCGACACTTGAAGGGCTTCCTAGGGAAGAAGCAGGCTGATGAGATGAGCCCTCCCTGTGCCACACACACACACACACACACACACACACACACACACACACACTCTTCTTGGGCCTCAGCCTCACCTTGTGCATTCTTCCCCAGGCCCCGACCAGGGACGTAGCCCATTTTCTGCAACAGCTTCTGCCCAATCCCCTTCGTGTGTCTCTCCCAGCTGCCAAAGTCCATGAAGGACTTGGTTCCTCCTGCAAAGCCTTTCTGGCTGGGCTTAAAATTGCCACCCTGCAAAGAAAAAAGACGAGCTTGGGGGAGAAAGAAAAAGAGAACAATCTAGTGGAGCGCAAGCATTATGAAAAGCAGCATGAGAACCAAAGCTACGTCAGTGACACAGAGCAGGAAGGACACTGCAGGACCCACAGGCGCAGCTCACTGTCCACTGGGCCTTGCCCTGTGCAGGAAGCCTCTGCATTGGTGCCCTGAGGAAGCTCATTGGTGCACTTGGAAGCTCTATTGAAGGACCTACCGTCTTTAACTTCTTTGGTCCTAAATCCTTCGGAAAGTCCTCCTGCTTAACAGGCTTCTCATCATCGTCAGAGTCCTCTGAGTCTGCTTCTTCAGCTGCCCCTTTCTTGAGTCCTGCGCTGATGAAGTTGACAGGCGCAGAGTAGTCTCGGGCCCTGCAGACATACACAAAACCCTCAGGTCTTTAGAGAATGTCTCTGCAGTACCTTGTCCTGGAAACTGCTCACGAGACAATTTCATATAGTCAGGGCCCTCATGAGATCCACTTTTTTTTTTTTATATTTTATTTATTTATTTTATGCACATCAGTGCTCTATCTGCATGTGCACCTGCACACCAGAAGAGGGGAGTAGAGGGTGTAGATGGTTGTGAGCCACCATGTGGTTGCTGGGAATTGAACTCAGGACCTCTGGAAGAGCAGACAGTGCTCTTAACCACTGAGCCATTTCTCCAGCCCTGGAATCCACTTTAAGGCAGTAATATGTTTATTTATGTCCAAATGCCAAAAGGACTCAAACCAGGACTCCAGTAATCTTATATTTAATATTTTCAAAAATATTACACACATGACGATGTGGGTGCCCAAGGAGCCAAAAGTATAGATTCCTGAAGCTGCAATTACGGGCAGTTGCAAGCTGCCTGACATGGGTGCTGGGAGCTGAACTCAGGTCTGCAAGAGCAGCATTCAATCTTAATTGCTGCTAAGTCATCTCCCAGCCCACATTTAACATTTATGGGATCTGTTCAATTCAAATATGTAGCTGACATAGCTGGAGATTTGTCACTGTCAACAGAGTTGATTATAAATTCAAAATATGATGAAGTGATCTTACTTCTCTTTGACACTTCAAAAAATGTCAGAGGATAACCTTGTGGAGCAGTTCTTCCCTTTTTCTTTTTATGCTGGGTCTGTTGACTGAACTCTGCTAGCCTGGCTTGCAGGCAAACCTCTGAGCCTTCCCACTGGGTGTCCATTTTACAACTGAAAACACTGTTTTAGCTCAGTGTTTGCTTCAGAGGGGTAGAGCCCTTACCTAGCATGCATGTGGCCAATTTCCAGCAGAACACATACACCGCATTTATTTTAGATACAACTTCAAGTGTAAAAATCAAACAGAAAAATTCAGATAGATAAAAAAAAAATCCTAAGTGAAATTGATAAAAAATTCTGACTGCAGTCAAGTGTGGGGACACATGCTTTTTCCTTTTTTTGTGAGACAGTATATAGCCCAGCCTGTACTACCACACTTCCCCTGTGGACCTACTCAGTTTTCTATCTTTGTTTCAGCCAACAAGGTCTCCACAGTGACCTTCTCGACCTCCCTGTCCTGAAGGCACCTGTGAGGGCACTCCTTGACCTGGACACGGTTCCAAAGCTGCCATGCCTGTGATGGCTTAGCACTTCTCTATCCATAAGTAGCTGTGCTCCCATCACACAGCAGTTGCTGAGGAGGAACCTACCACCCCAGCTCAGTATCACAGAGCAGGATGCTGTAGCTATGGACTCAGGAAGGCGTCCCCTACTCCTCTATGCCAGGGCACGCAGCCCAACAGACAATACCGTTTTCCTCCAAAGCTCGGCCTCTCCTCATCCGAATCACGCTCAGCCCACACCCCATAGGTGGCCTCCTCCTTGGTCTGCCAGTGACGCTGCCGATTGGGGTTGAACTCATTCTGGAGATCCCAGTCAGTGATCTCGAAGTTCTCACGCTCGTCATCATCATCATCCAGGTGGCCTTCCCCGTCCCGATACAGGTGGGACAGAGACATGGCCAGTCTCTAGAGGAAGGGGGAGAAGAACAGCACTGTGAGAACCTGGGGCCAGCAGAAGAGCCTCACGAGTCTCTATTCTTGTTTCCTGAAAACAAAAAACCCATTGGCCTTATGCTGCTGCTCAATAAAGCAGCCATAAAACATAGGACAAAGTTACCAGATCTGCAAAAAGTAGGACAAGTCAGTCCCTGCAGTCCACATGGTTTTAAAAAGTCAGGCTGCCTTGGCCTTGCAGAGTCAAACATCAAGCACACCACAGACTGGAAGTAAGGGTTCATCACGGGATTACCTCAGAACCAGGTGGGCACCTTGGTCCTTTTTGTTCTCCAGGCAAGAGTTAGATCTAGTCGCGTTTCACTCCCAGGGAAACTTCAGAACGTTTTTGAAATACTGTTTCATGAGACTGAAGGTTTCCTTCCCAAACCTGAACAGCTTCTGAGGCACTGAAAAGCTGCAGTCTTTATGAATGCCACTGCTCAGTTCCACCTAAAAGGCGGGGAATAAACACACTGTTCTACCCAAGTATCTCTTCAGCTTTCTCTCATAAACTGTATCAGTGACTACAGTCAGATTCAGAAGTAGCTTGTAAGGACTATTAAGATGATACTTTAGAAAAAAAAATCCTCCCAACACTCAGAAGGCTGAGCCAGGTTCATCTCTGTAAATTCAAAGCCAGCCTGATCTACACAGTGAGTTCCAGGCCAGCCAGGGCTACAGTCAGACTTGGTCTCAAAACAACAACAAAAGCTGAGTTCCCAGTGTTTCTTGAGCACCTAGACTTTACTCCAAACACTATGTAGACAGAGATAGGCATATCTCTGAGTTCAAGGTCAGCCTAATCTACAATCAAGTTTCTGGACAGCCAGGGCTCTGTTACACAGAAAAATCCTGTCTCAAAACAAAAACGAAGAAAAGAAAGCAGGCGTCCTCTACTTCAGCCCCATGGTCAGCTTCAGGTTCACCATCATTACCAGTCAAGACTGAGAAGTGAATCCTTCGGAATAATTGTGAAAATCAGTAACAATTAACAACCCAGCCTGAGTGCAAACCCCACCTCTAGCAGCGTCTCTGTACGCGGATATTTCATACAAAGCCTCAACACAGTGCGCTGCACAGTAAGGTCCTAAGTACGTGACGCCATCGCGTACAGGTGCCTCAGTGACTGACGTCTCCAGCAAAGCGAGTCCGGGACTTCTGGCAGGGCGAAACTGGCCCGCTGTTACGAATATCACTCCACAACTTACTAGGCACCGGTAACCTCAACAGGTTCTAACCTCAGCTACGAGCGCACGTTGAGTGCAAAGTTATCAAAGGAGGCAGGAGGCCCTGGGCCCACGGGTAAAATATCATCGCCTCTCCCACACAAGAAATGGGGGGAAAGCCCACAGAGGTCAGAAGACCCTCCGAACACGCTCGCTGGTCCCAGTGCCTCATCTGGTCTGGGTCCCCCAGCGAGCCGGGCTAGAGACCCGGGTGCAGGGAGGTCACGGGGCCGCCGCCGCGCAGGGTCAGCCAGCGTTCCGGACACCATACCCCGGCCCACTCACCTCGCTCAGCGACCGCGATCCACACAGCCTCCTTCCAGGGTCCGAGAGCCTGCGAGGAGCCTGCTAGCAGAAACCCGGATGTAGCCTGCCGGCGCGCCGGAACAACGTCATCCAATGGCGGAAATGGCGCGCTGTTGCCCCGGCAGCGACCTAACGCTAGAGGGGTCGGGTCTGCGGAACGGAAAAGCTGGTGAGCCCGCTTTGCTCTATTTCCGTTTCTCAACGGAACTGAGGCCGTGTGGACTTCTGGTCCCAGGGCACTCCATTTTCAGGTACTAGAGTCTCAGTCAACAAAGACCGTGAAGGAGTGAGCCCAAGAAAGCCACCCCCGGATAGAACCGCCGATTCCAGACTGTCGTTGTCACGAGGACCCTGAATAATTAAAATATCTTCAGGACTCCGTGTTGCAAGAAGAAAAGGTTAATGGCCTAACCCCAGAGAAAGAGCTTGTCTGCCGGGAGAGATTTCTCTGTTCAAATTCCCGTCATTGCAGAGTAATCGGCTTTTGTTTTATTTTTTCTGTAAAACTGTAAACAGGAAAGGCAAAGGAACCTCAGAACTTAATCTCTAGGCACCTGTGGCCAGACTGTTAATAAATCCGTTTTCCTTTCCCAACCTCTGTTCCTGTTTTCTTCTGAAATATAATGACTCTACGACAGCAGATTTATGGACTAAGCGCCTCCTTTTCGGCTCCTTTAGGACAAGCCAGCGTGGACCTGGAACACTTTAAGGAATGCATGGGTGGAAGGAGCGCCCAAGCATTCTCTCCGGGAAGCATTTTTATTATTTCCCTTTCTGCTCTAGTTATTTCTCTGTTGCTGTGATAAACAGCTAAAGCGGAAAGGGGACATCCTTCTTTGCTTGCTTCTTTTTCAAGAAAGAGTTTTTCGTTGTACTTCTGGCTGTCCTGGAACTCACTCTGTAGACCAGGCTGGCCTCAAATTCAGAGATCTGCCTCTGGAGTGCGGCGCCACCAGTGCCCAGCAAAAAGGGGCGTATTTCATCTTACACTTTTCCAGATAATAGTCTGATGCCGTCTTGGGTTCAGGAACAGGTTAGTTTTTTCTAGAACGGTAAAAGGCTGTGTCCTGGTTGGCGTTTTTGGTTGTTTTGTTTGTTTGGGTGGGTGGGTGGTTTTGTTTTTGTTTTTCTCTTGTCAACGACACTAGAGTTGTCTGAGAAAAGGACCCTCAGTGCTTCCATCAGGTGCCTGTAAGCAAGCCTGTGGTGTCACTTACTTGATTAATGAGTGATGTGGGAGGGCCTCGCCCATTGTGGGTGGTACTACCCCTGCTCAGGTGATCCTGGGTGCTAAAAAGCATGGGGAGCAAGCCAGTAAGCAGGGCTTCTGCTCCAGTTCTTGCTTTAAATTCCTGCCTTGGTTTTCCTTAGCAGACTATAATGTGGAGAGCAAGTGAATCCTTTCCTTCGCAAATTGCTCTTGGTCATGGTCTTTACAATCCAGCAATAAAACCTAAGATATGAAGGAAAGACATGTTAGTGAGGCTCTCTGGGAGTCTGTCAAAGCCACCATGGTACTGGTGAAATCAGGGTCCCTTATTGGGGATTATAGTCACATTAATGAAAGAATTTAAGAAGAGATACACACGAATGATAAAGGGCAATCCTTCGAAAGGCAGGCAAGCTGTACCTCTCAAAGCTGCCCAGAGAATGGAGAAGGGGAAAGGCATTTCAGACAGCCAGGATAGAGGTCAGCCATGGCAGGGCAGTTATTAGAGGGTAAGTATGGCCACCCAAAATGAAAAAAAAAAAAAAAAAAAGAGCCCAGGGCAAGCAAGCTGGAAATCTGAACTGCCTAGGGGAGGAGAATGGAGAAAGGAAAAGCCATAGGAAAAAATAAACCGGCATAGAGGTCAGTTACATGGCAGGGAAGAGGCCTTCAGAGCGTGAGCAGGAACCCCAGTGCAGGAAAGTTAAACGCATACTTGTGTTGGGAAAGAATCTTCCTGCCTGTGAGCAAAGTGAAAGTAACACATCGAGGCAATGGCCCCAACCAGGCAGGCAGGCACACCCAAACTACAAGTTTACTTCATCTGTTCTGACGCAGGTGGTGCCTGGGTTTCACCGCACTGTTAGGAGCTCAGCCTCAATCTGACGTGAGTGGTACTTCATAATTCTCAACATAGAGGAAGCTTATGCTAGGCAAGTCTCAGAAATGTCAGGCATTCAGGACTTTGGCATATACTACACGAATTTGACAAGATACGGGAGGATTATGGAATACTGGCCCTAAATATGGCAGGTATGGTGACACCTTTAATCCTAGCACTGGGAGCTAGACCCAAACAATGTAAGAAACAAAAGAAGTGAAGGGTTTGCAGGGAGCAATAAGAGGGACACTGAAACAGATCCCTGGGGAGTGAGAAGTCTATTGGAAAAGCTATTAACACCATGGACAGACAGGCAGTAGCACAGTAGAGACTCTGAGGAGAGTTCAGGGTCCCAGCAGCAGAGACAGACAGTATGACAGGAACTTCACAAAGAGGACTCAGCCCACATGGAAGAGATAGGGGTCCGACTTTAGACCTTTCTGAGGATGAGAAGGTTTCACAACATGAGTCTAGATGTTCCCAACTCCCAAGGCTAGGTGTTTTGTTTTGTTTTATGAGAAGTGACAAGAGATTGGGATGGATATGAGCCCCCAGAACCTAGGCCAACAACCTTACATGAAAGCCTCCCAACTTCAAAGGTTGGTGCTGTGCCCTTTTCCATCAATATTTCTCAGTTGAAGGCCAAGTAGTTAAAGGTGCATGCCTTTAACTCCAGCACCCAGGAAGCAGAGACAGGTGGATCTGTGAGTTTGAGGCTAGCCTGGTTTACAGAGTGAGTTTCAGAACAGCCCAGCTACACAAAGATTTCTGTTTCAAAACTATGCCCTCTCCTCCAGATTTCTCAGTTCAAATGCTTAGCCTTGGGACTTGGGGACACCCAGGACCATGTCTAGATTGCCGCAGAGGTACTCACACACATAGCCATCCAAAAAGGGTGATGTAAACAAGCCTCATCAGGCATATGGCAGGACCCTCTGACACTCATTGGTCCATCCCATCTTCCAGAGAAGGCCCTGGAAGAGGGCAAGTGCCTACAGCATGCAGCAAGTTGAAGAACAGAGCCAGGCCGCAGGAGTGCAGGCCTATCAACATCGGTATTGCCACCCCACTATTCATGCCCCCAACCACTCCCTCTGAAGTTTGTGCATCCGCTTGAAAGATTGTGTGGGGTGTGGGGAGCCTGGCTCAGTCACAACTTTAAATAGGCTGGTACCATAGAAACAATCCTTAGGTGGCAATTTCAAAGCTGATATATTTAAAGTCTAGCACATGTACTTTTTCTTAGGACAGTGACATTATGCCATGGCACATGTCTCATTCTCATTTTGAAGTCTGTTACAAAAATAGACATGGTGTACTGAACTTGGCAAGATTGGAAACCCAGATTGACTGAGATCAGCGACCTGGTTTCCCTTTAAATGCTTTTACACATACTTTAGTCTCTCAGGAGACCCTGCACTACAGAGAAAGCTGGGCTGCTCGGTGAGATCCGAAAAGCACAGTGTGAGGAAGGGGCTGGAGACGTGGCTCAGCAGTCAGGAGCACTTGTTTCTCTTGCAGAGGACCTGGGTTCAGTTCCCAGCACCCAGCCACAGAGTGGATTACAGCTGTCTTTAACTCCAGATACAGGGGTTCTGATGCTTCTGCTTCTCTGAATACCAGGCACACAAGTGGTACATAGACACACATGTGGGCAAAATAGCTATACACATACAAATAGAAATATTGAAGGAAAATTAAAGCACGCAGGTGTTCAGGGGAAATGGCTTGACGGGGAAAGCACTTGTCTCAAAGTTTTAGGGCTTAAGCTGGGCTTGGTAGCACATGCCTTTAATCCCAGGTATTGGAGGCAGAGTCAGGCAAACCTTAGAGGTCAGGCAAACCTCTAAGGCCAGAATGGTCTGTAAAGTGAGTGCCAGGACATCCAGGGCTACACAGAGAAACTATGTCTCAAAAGGAAAGAAAGAAAAGAAAACACTCATTTCTAGATTTGTGAGAGCTGGGCATTCAAACTCAGGTCCTTGTGCTTATGGGGCAGGCATCTTACTTGCTGTATTAGTCACTGTTCTCCAGAGGAGCGGAGCCAACTGGGTGAATATATACATGAAAATAATTTATTAAGTCAGCTTCCATTAAAATAATAACCGCTATCTCACACCTGAGACCCCGACAACCCAGCAGTTGCCCAGTCCCTGAAGCTGGTACCTCAGCAATCTCATCTGCTTCAGTCACTCTAGAAGGCTCCTGGGAGCAGCTGGCCAGTCCACAGTGCGAGCCCAGGCTCTCTGGTTCAAATGTCAATCAACAGTGGTGAAAGGGAAGCCAGAAGGGCAAAAGGCAGATGGTTTTCCTTTCAAAATCAACCTTTATCAAGACTGCTATCAGAAGGTGCCTCCCACAATCCAGGTGGGTCTCCACGCCCATCAGGCAGTCAGAACAGTTCTGTAAGGGAGATTCACTATCCAAGTGACTCATCTGTGGCAAGCTGACATTAAAATGAACCATTGCATCTCCTTAGTCATCTTTGGAGCCCCAGGAAGAGGGTGTCTCTCTCGCTCTGTCTCTCTGCATGCACGTGTGCGCACAGGAGTGCTAAGAACAAGGCCTAATGTATGCTAGGTACCATCACTCAGCCCATTTCAGCCCAAGAAGAGATTTCGAGATTTGAGAGTGCTACTATGTAGTCCAGGTTGGTCTCAAATTCAGAGATCCACCCAAGTACTGGGATTAAGGGCGTGAAACAACACTCCAGGCTTGTTTTGTTTTTTGCCACAGGGTCTTAACTTACAGGTAGCCAAAGCTGGCCTGGAACTTGTGATCCTTCTTGCCTAATACCCTCTGAGTATGAGGGTTGCAAATTGCATCACAGCCGGCTTTTAGACTTTTAATTTTTATATTTATTTTCTCTCTCCCTGCCCCTCCCTCCACCCTCTGTGCTGTGACAGTGCACGCCACAGCACTGGTGGAGGTCAGAAGTCAGCTTGCAGGAGTTAGTTCTCCTCTTCCATCATGTGGGATCCTGGGATGAAGCCCAGACCACCAGGCTTTGTGGCAAGTGCCTATAGTGAAGTGCTGTTCTCCAAGCCAAAGTGCCCCCATCTGCAGACCAGCCGTGTCTCCCCCAAATGATCACCACACCCAGGCCTACTGACCAAGTGGGAAGTCACTGGGGCCCTCCGAACCAACTGTCTAAGATTTTGCTCTAATTGTCCTTGGTCTGAGGTTGAAAGGCGGGACTACATAAAGGTGGGAAAGACAAAGGAAGCTACTGTCCTTACTTGTGTAGACTTCAGGTTGCGGCCGCTTTCAGTGATACCCACTTCGGTCAGCAGCCTCTCACTTATGCTCTGCATGACCAAGAGATGCTTTGGTGCCCACGGTGAACTGCGGTGGGATTGTACTTTGGTTTGTTAGGATGGTAGGACACTGATCACGCTCGCCGTGCCCCCCACCCCCGGGAATCTTACCTACAGACCCTCTCCACAGGCAGGTGCACAGTCACAGCCATGACTCCGTGGGAGAGAGCATGGAAGCTCTATCACAGCCCACTGCTGGGGGGTGCAGGGGAAGAGGGAGACAGACAAGACAAGAGACATGGACAAAGAGTAGGTCAGAGGAGAGCAAGGTGGAGTTGGTCCTCTTCTTCCAGCATTACATGGGTTCCAGGGATTGAACTCACCCCCTCCTGGATGCTTTCAGTCTCTCCTCTATGACTTAAAATGCCTCACACTGTGGAAACCAATGTCAGACTCTTGTGTAATGGAGAATATGAGTTAGAATCCCTAACACATAGGTAAAGCCAAATGCAGTGGTGTGTTTGTAATCCCACACATGCTCCAGTCCACAAACATATACACAAAATTAAATAATTTTTGTAATACTCAATATTTTTTTGAAAAGGGTCTCACATTGTCTAGCCTGGCTTCCAACTCACAATGGTGCACCATGCCTGGCTGCACTGATGAGAAGCAGGCCGCGCAGTCAGCCCGGTGTTCTCAGGCATTGGTTTACATTTATTTGCATTTATTTTTTATGTGTGAGGTGCCAGATCCTCGGAACTGGAGTTACAGGCAAATGGGAACTCCACGTGGGTGCTGGGAATTGAACTGGGATTCTCTGGAAGCACAGTCAGTGCTCTTAACTGCTAAGCCATCTCTCCAACCCCCTTCTCGGGTATTACTGATCACACGTGGCTGATCCTGTAAATGCCAAACTGAGGCTACAGGGGGCAGGGTGTATGGATGTGTAGACAAACATACACAGAGGCCAGGGATGCCTGCTTCCGGCAGGGAAGGAGTCAGGTGGAAAAAAGCATACTTGGCAAACTGGAGATGTCGATGACAGCTGAACAAACAGAAGACACTCAGGAGCCACAGAGGCAAAAGTGCTCACTGCCAAGTCTGCCTGAGTTCTGCCATAGTTCCCTGGAACTATGCGTGGAAGGAGAGAATAACCTCTCATAAGTTGTCTTCTGATGTCTATACATGTTCTGTAATATGTGTGCACCAGCTCACCCATAAACAAATATATTCGATAAAACAGTAAGGGAAAGGAAGGGTCTCAGAGGCCTGGCCACCCTCTCACTAGTTTGAAGAAGAGTCAGATGCTGCCACACAGGAGCACTGCCATGTCACCCTTGGTGGTTCTTGGTAACTGCATGAAGTTTCAGGAAGTGCCACTATGCAGATGAAGAGGGCCCACACCCAGCACTGAGTCACAAAGGAACTTCACCATCTACTTGACCGGATGTAGAGGCACTGGGTGACTGGCCCTGCACATGGGCAGCCTGCATCCCACAGGCTGGGGAGTTCAGACTCAAGAGGAAGGAAAAGGGAAGGCCAACCGAGGGAGCCCTGGCACTCCCTTCCCTGCTTCACTGCCCACTGTGACCTGAACATCTGTCACAGGCATCCTGCCATGATGGAAACTATGGGCCAAAAGAAACCTTCCCTTGCTTATGTCAGGTACCAGAGCAACAAAAGTCAGCCTGCCTCCAAAACCATACCCCCAGGACACTGCAAGCCACTGCCTCCCTGAGCCACACAGCTTAGCCCAGGAAGTCGAGCAAGGCGTGGGTGCTTCTCAGACCTTACAAAGCTGTCCTCGGGCCAGCAGGCCCGGGGCAAGAAGAAAATGGGTCCTTGCTCGTAAGAGCTCAGCTGAATGTTCTATCCATGTTGCCATGTATCTCTGTGCTGAGAATTACCCAAGTACACACCAACTTTACCAGAAGGGACCCCCAAACTGGTCTTTTTGTGAGCCTTTGCTGTGGGATCACAGGAGCTCAGAGGTGCCCACAGCAGCATGGGCATATTCTCCTGTCACACAGTCATGAGGGAAGAAGCCTATTCACTCCGTGTGAAGTAAGGCACAGACAGCAGCCTGTTTACTTTATTCAAATAATTAACTTCTTTTCTCTGTGAAACTGAGTAGGACTAAAGAATGGAGGAAAGCCCATATATTAAACTCTTAAATAGATCCTTTGAGGTCAAAGTCAAGGCAAGGAGAGGCACGGCTCACAGGTCTTGCTCCAAGAAATGAGGCCAACAAAGGAGCCTGTCCATCAGGGAAGATAGCAAATTCAATTCTTTAAAAAAAGTTCTCAAGGAGGAAAAAAATAGAAAATTCCCAAGTTTCCGAAGCTGAAGTAGTCTCTCTCTCCTCCACATCCGCCCTGGAGCAGAGGTTCCAAGTCTGTTTCCGCTGAGGGGTACAAACACTGCACTTCAGCAGGCCACGGCAACACTGACAGCAAGCAACGTGCTTGGGGTAGTCCGACTTCCATTACAGGGCGAGGACTCAGGCATCCGAGCTGCGCAGAGTCTGAGAGAGGGGAAGTGGTGTCAGCAGAGGGTGATGCTGAAATAGAGCATTTCTGTTTTTTGTTTTTGTTTTTTCATTTCTGAGACAGGGTCTCACAACATTAACACTGGCTGTACTAGAGCTCCATTGATAGAGCAGGCTGGCCCGGAACTCATAGAGGTCCAGCTGACCCTGCCTCCCGAGTGATGGGATTAAAGGTGTGATTAAAGATCCAATGCATAAAGTCCTCGCTTCAACAGCCCCACCTCCCAAAAATTATGTGTTAACTGAGTTTCAGAGAAGCAAGAGGTGTCGGCATCTGATCCAGGCCAGTCCACGGTGGGTTGGCTGGCGAGCCCTGTACATGGTATTTCATTTAAACTGTGAATCAGGGCTTTGGAAATGGACTGGTCCAGGAGTCTAACAGACTTGCAGGAAGTGAGGGGAGCAGGAGTTGGAGGGGAGCAGTGTTCTTGTCCAGGTTCTTTTCTTTGAAGTGAATCCCTCAGCATAGCTGCAGACAGTCACAGAGACTGGATGCCTGAGCTCAAAGTCCCTTTCCCTACTGTTCAGCAAAAGAGGCACCAAGAATGGCTCTGAAGGAGCCAAGTCTGCAAATGGCACTGGAGAATGTCAGCCACTGGCTAGGACATGGAGGGCCATAGGGTTCTCTGAAGGTGGGGGTGGAGCTGTGCCCCTTGTCTCAACCCCTCAGGCCACTCTTGGTGGAGTCCCACAATGATGAAATGACTGTGACAGCATTCGGTGTTTGAGGGTTTATCTTTATCTGGGAGGGTATGAGTCTCCACTAGGTATGGAGATAGCTTAGGACCCCCATCTCCATGGTCCTCCCTGCTCCTCCCCAGGATCAAAGAAGCCTCCTTTTGGTTGGTCTAGCATCCATGCCTACTGACCACACACTCCCCCCTCCAGAGCCCAGACTAAGCCTCCATTCTATAAATAGCTCTCTAGGCAGTCACCATGGAAACGAGATGGGGCTGGGCCTGTCCACCTTAGTGGACACAGCTGAGAGAAGGTTGAAAGGATGGGCACTTCAGCCAGGGCTGGGAGTCTCTGGGAGACGGGAGGAACGCTCACCTGGAAATCATGAACTTCCCAGGTGTGCGGAGGTGCTGTTCTGGTTCACCTGCTGGGAGACAAGCAGACGAAGGGGTCAAGGCCTAGTGGTAGATGAGGGGGTTTCCCTTTCCCTTCTCCAAGGCCCAGTCCTGGTCTCAAGGACCCACCAGAAAACCTGTCTCTTTCTCACACCCACGACAGACTGCACTCAGGACAGGGTGACTGTAGTTGTGTCCCTAGGATCTCCTAGGTGGCAGGGCCATATTTTGTTTGTATCCATCTGTTCCACCCTCCCAGGCCTCCACACCCCAGTGCTGACCCAGACTTAAAGCTGTAACCTGAGAGAACATGTTTTTCTTCTCACATGTCTCAGACACCTATAGACACTTGATTTTTGACAAAAATAAGAAAGGAAAGAAAAAAAAAAGTCAAAACCATATTTTGAGTGGTGCTGGTCTAATTAAATGTGTTTGACAAAAAAGAGGGGACATCTCATAAGATACTGTAAAATCCAGAACTCATGGGAGAAGCTCTTGAGCCAGTTTGGACAGGCATAATGACTTGACCCAAAAGGTCAGGACCCCACCCAGCAGACAGGTGGAATGCCAGGACAGCAGACTATGCCATGAAAGCATAATCAGCATAAAAATGTACACAGCAGGCCAACGAGGGCAACAGCAAAAAGCTGCTGTTCCCGAACTCAGATACTGATAATCTGACCATTAGAATGGCAACTGCCATGGGGGGAGGGGGGGCACACTTTATTTTTCTAAAATGAATAAAACACAGGCTGGGGAGATGGCTCAGTTGGTAAAGTGGCTGCAATGCAAGCATGATGACCTGAGTTCAGATCCCCGGGACCCACGTAAGATAAGGAGTTACAGAAGCACACGGCAGGGAGGGTGGAGGCAGGAGGGCCCCCGGAGCTCACTTGCCAGCTGGTGCAGCCCCAGCTGTCAGCCGTGGATTCGCTGAGAGACTCTGTCTCAAAATACAAGGTGGAAAGGGTGTGTGTGAAAGAGACTGAGGAGGACACCTGATGTTCACATCTGGCCTTATGAACCTGTAAACGTGTACAAAGACACACCCACCTCACACACAAAAACAAACATGTGCAAGGTCACTCATCTCAGGACCATCTCATCTTTTGAAAGGCAGCATCTTAGCCCCAAAAGAAGCCTAGGCATTTGTGGCAGAGCACAAGCGCATGCCAGAAGGCGGAAGCTATACTGATCCTGACACTGCATGGACCACCCCCAGGGCTATCTCAGGGACGGTGGGCCCAGCTGTGGGAGGCATGGGGCAGTGTGGTTCATGGCCACTTAGTCACAATACCCCATGACCCTGCAGCTCTCATTTCCTGACACAGAAAATGGTGTCTGGGGATGTGCTTGGCAACTGTCACTTGACCAGGATGGGGTTGAAGTTAGAAACAAAGTCTTCGGAGTCCATAGTCACCTTCCAGCCAGATGACAAGGGCAGGACAGCTTAGGAAAAGGACTCCAGAGATGGGCTGTAGCTATACTCACTTAGAGACTTCTCTGGCCCAGCCCTAACCAGGCTGTGTCAGGGAAATGTCATCCACCCACCCAGCCACCCACCCATTCAGCCATCATCCAACCGCCTACCACCCACCTACCCACCTATCGACTCATCTACCCACCCACTCATCATCATCCATCTACCAATCCATCATCTATCCATCCACCACCCATCCATCTACCCACCCATCCACCCATCAATCATCATCATCCATCCATCCACCCATCCATCCACCCATCGAGGGCAAAGTAGAGCAGCCATGGACCAACTGAGGTCCAACCAGGAAGACACAAAGCACAACCCCATCCTGGGCTCCTGGGCTTTCTAACCTGATAATATCCTTTCAGATTGGCTGGTGTTTTATAGTCTCCTTTCAAGACCTAGGAAAGAAGGTAAGTGTCATTGTGGGAAAAAA